CAACAGCCGAACAACAGCTGAACAGCAGCTGAACAGCAGCTGAACAACAGCCGAACAACAGCTGAACAGCAGCTGAACAGCAGCTGAACAACAGCCGAACAACAGCTGAACAGCAGCTGAACAACAGCCGAACAACAGCCGAACAACAGCCGAACAGCAGCCGAACAACAGCTGAACAACAGCCGAACAACAGCTGAACAACAGCTGAACAGCAGCTGAACAACAGCTGATCAACAGCCGAACAACAGCTGAACAGCAGCTGATCAACAGCCGAACAACAGCTGAACAGCAGCTGAACAGCAGCTGAACAACAGCCGAACAACAGCTGAACAGCAGCTGAACAGCAGCTGAACAACAGCCGAACAACAGCTGAACAGCAGCTGAACAACAGCCGAACAGCAGCCGAACAACAGCTGAACAGCAGCTGAACAACAGCCAAACAGTCTGACTCAGTTCCTGCATCAGGTCCTGATCCAGACACGGTCCAGCTGTCCCACCAGCCTGTCTCTGTCTCTGTCTCTGCAGTCTACCTGAGCTGGTGAAAGACGGGGAGAACGGTCTGATCTTCAGAGACTCCACAGAACTGGCTGCACAGCTACAGGTGAGGTGGACCCACCTGATCAGGTGACCACTGTGACATCACAGGAAGTTGTGTTGACATGTAGTTGTGTGTCAGTCCCTGCTGTCAGACTTCCCCAGTCCAGAGGGAAGGCTGGGCTCGTTCAGGAGGAACCTCCGGAGCAGCAGGGGGCAGTGTTGGGAGGAGAACTGGGAGCAGAAGGTCCTGCCTCTGCTGGGGGCTCACACAGCACACACCTGAAGCAGGAAACACTTTGTTGTTGTTGTTGTTGTTGTAAATAAAATGTTTATTCTGCTGCTGCAGCTTGTTGTGTGTCTCTGAACAGCTGGATGAGTTCGATGGACGTCAGTCTGTTGTAGTGAAAGACCTGTGAGACGGGTCCAGAAAGGACCTGGTGCCTGATGCCTGCTGCCTCTAAACACACAAACACACAAACACACACAGGTGAGGTCAGGTGAGGTCAGGTGAGTCACTTCCTGTTGCAGCAGCTGCAGCTCCTCACCCAGGCTCTGCTTGAAGCCGCCGTACGTCTCCTGGTTTCTGACGGTGGAGCAGATGAAGACCTGCGGGTGGTYCTCGGGTCTCTGAGGGTCCAGGATGTGGGCCAGGAGCTGGACCAGACTCTGGGCCACGTCAGGGTCGTACACCACATCTGCACACACAAACCGTGGGTTTGATTCCAGAGCTGTAGGTCTAATGTGAGGCGTCACATCAGGGTTAGTCCAACACATTCAGGGTTTAAAAATTTACATTTAGTCAAAATATTATAAATAAAATATAATTAATGTTTTWATGTTTCTGACTGAAATATAATCATAAAATAATTTAAACAGTTTTTTGAGCAGTAGCAACAAAAACTGATTTTGAGGAGAAACAGCTTAAAATTATAATTTTTCCCTGTGAGCTAACAATGTTTTAGTTTTCTATTCAAATAATGTCTCAGGTTTCCTCCTTATGATTAATGACTCAATACATGTACAGAGATCAGGATTCAGACCAGTGTTAGTGTATGATGTAACCAACGAGACAAATGACATCATATCTGTGGACAAATGATGACATCATATCTGTGGATAAATGATGACATCATGATGATCCAGGATCAAAGTGTTTTTCCATCAGAAACAATGAGGTCATAATGACTGAATGTAACTGGGAACATCTGATGAGTCACATGTTTCTGATCATCTCACAAACTCATGAAAGCTTTCAGTGACAGAATCTGCTCTGGTTCTGGTTCTGGTGTCAGACCTGCAGCGATGACCGTGTCGGTTCTGATGGTGTCCTCTGTGGCGCTGGTCCAGTCCAGGTGGTCCACTGTGACGACGGGGCGGTCCCGCTGGCTCAGACCGTTCAGACGCACGTTGTCTCTGAGGTTCTGTAGAACCGAGTCGTGACAGTCGCTGAAGGTGAACCTGTTCGGGTCGCAGCAGCGACAGATGGTGATACCGGTCAACCCGGCCCCGCTGCCCAGCTCCAGAACCGACCTGCAGGACAGAACTGGGTCAGACCTGGTTCACTTCATGTTTATTTTCATGGAGGAAAAAACATTTTTATAAAYCCTGAAGGTTCGGACCTGCCGGTGAAAAGCTGCCGGTTCTCCAGAACCCACTCAGTCAGGTAGAGAGCAGCCTCCCAGGTCACCAGTCCAGTTGTTCCCTGTGAGATCAGAACCTGGTTCTCCTGCAGACTGATGGTGTCTCCTCCAGGCTGCAGCACACAACACCACTGTTCACTGCTGTGTGCACGGCTGGGTACCACGAACAACCAGGAAGTGTTGTGTTTGTTACAGGAAGTGCTGTTTGCTACAGGAAGTGTTGTGTTTGTTACAGGAAGTGCTGCGTTTGCTACAGGAAGTGCTGCGTTTGCTACAGGAAGTGCTGCGTTTGCTACAGGAAGTGCTGTTTGCTACAGGAAGTGCTGCGTTTGCTACAGGAAGTGTTGCGTTTGCTACAGGAAGTGTTGCGTTTGCTACAGGAAGTGTTGCGTTTGCTACAGGAAGGGCTGCGT